TCCCTACAGTCCCACAACCATTCCCCTTCCTCCCCTCACCCATCTACACACTTGACAAAAGGGTCTTGCTGCTGAGTTTGGTCAGAGGACCACAGTCATAACGTCCCCTCCCTAGCTCCTACCATAACCCTCTCATCTGCTAGGAGTATGTACCCATAGAACTCTGGTTGAATCAGACCCCTAAAAAAGATTATTTTTGGACAAAATTAACTTGCTGGACAGAGGTAAAACATACAGCCCTATGCATGCTGCCACCTTTCCTAGAGTATTTGGTCAGTGTTTCCTGCTTTATTGAAACTTAGGAATTGAGTTTTTGATAGAATTCTGTAGAATTTAATAGCACACACATTTGTCACTGACGTAGGCAAGGCAGTTTATGATAATACTTCAAGCTATTTTTTCTCGCCAAAGCAAACTGCAATCTTATACAAACACATAAAATATGCTCAATAGTCTGTGGTTAGCACTGCCACAAACCAGATGCCTTAAAAGGAGGTTGGAGAGGGTGAGGGACAAGCCAGTCTAAGAATTGTTTTCAGTTTGAAGAAAGTGGTATTTTCAGATGACTGGATCTGTGTCTGTTCAGAATTTAGGGGCATCATACCATGGTGAAGACCGTCTCTGGGACAAGCTATCCAGGGCAAATAAAGATAGAATTCAGTAATTACTCAGTGAATTTGATGGATGCGGCTGACCAGTCTATAGCCTTAAAACTCTTTCCTTCCTCAGTAGATAGGCAGAAGCTCAAATCACTAATGATCTCCTTGGCCTGACTGCTTTCATTGCTGAATCAATGAAGCAAAGATAAAATAAGACTATGACTCAAGCTGTCACCCAGCGAGTGGAAGAATGAGCAATGGCTTTAGAGTCACACGGTCACATTCACATCTTGGTCCTGCCGTGGAACTAGCCATGTGATCTTGGGCAATTCAGTTAACATTTCTGAGACTGTTTCCTCACCTGTGAAATAACACCTACCTCACACACAAATAATAGGAGAATTAAAAGATAATGCAAAACATCTAGCACAGAAAAATACCAAAAAAAACAAAAAAAAACATCTAGCACAATTTTGCTTCCCATTTCCTTCTGCAACAGAGATTTATTTATTATATAACAAAGGGAAAGGGACTCTTCTCTGGCATTTTTGCTTAGAAGTACAAATCTTGAACTGATGCCAGTGTTGGGGATTATTGCATCTCAAGAAAGCAGAAGCATCTAAGATATTTTTATGCTTTCAAGCAACAAAATAGATATCATTTTGAGATCCCAAAAGTAGTACATTGTGTCTTTGAGGAAGTCTAGAGATAAAAGAAATAGAGGGAGGTGAAGCCACAGAATGTTGTGAAGGGTCCACTGATCTCCTATAAGGGGATTACATGTCCTTCGGAACATCAAGCTTTCCTCTAACTTACATAGCCTATGTCATAGGCGTTCTTGTAAAATACTCCAATTTTCAAATACTGATTCTTTCCCTTCCTGTAGGTTAAGACAATTGAACTTGAAGGAGGCCTCTTGGAAGATCATTTTGAAACTACTGTAAAAATGAGTACATACCTTGTAGCCTACATAGTTTGTGATTTCAACTCTGTGAGTGGCACAGCCTCGTCAGGGGTCAAGGTGAGTTTGGGTTCTCATTTCATACACAGTGCAGAATAGTGTCCTGAAGCCAATGAGCTTTTCTTTATTTTAAGGTTATTTTCCTTATTATCAAAGTATCATACTTATTTACAAAAATAGAGATAGCTAAAAACTAAGTTACCCACAATCCCATCACCAAGATATAATTACTGGTAATATTTGTGTCAGCCTTCCAAGTATTTTCTATAAGTCTGTCAGTATATGAGTGTATATAGTAACAGTATATACTGTATATAACTATATATACGTTTTACAAAATAATATATGATTGTTTTAGCTCACCATAATATGCCATAAAAATTAAATGCCATTAAATATTTCTATAATATTAATAATTAATAGTATTGTACTCTACTACATAGAGGTACCATAAGGATTTTTAAATCAGCATCTTATTCTAGGACACTTACATTGTTTCCAATTGCTTTCTATAAGTTTATTTCCTCAGTGAAAGGAGGTCTTCATAATTTTTAGAGTGTTAATTGTTTACGAAAATTTACAGTACCAAATAATTATAAAGTTTCGCAACTATCAGTGAAGACATGAAAAATAAAAAAGAACTCCTTACCCTGAGGAACCAGGTTATAGACATAAAAACATATTCAAAGAACCATAAAATAATGCTCATGAAAAATAGCAATAAAATGGCTATTACAATTTCCATACATATTATACCTTTGGATATGTAGATACATGTTATCAGCAATGTGTCTACATACATCTCTGCACATATATATATGTGCAGAGATATAGATGTGTGAGAGGTCAGATAGCACTTTACTTCAGAGGACAGGGTCCTGTCAGCTTCCTTGGATTCACATCCCAGCTCTACAGTTTTCTACATGGGGGGCTTGAAGTAAGTTACTTAATCTCCATGTGTTTCCATTGCTTCATCTGTAAAATGAAGACAATAGCACCTATTTCATGAGGTGATTGAGAGGATTAAATTAGATTTTACATGTGCGCATTTAGTGCAGTGCCTGGTGGGCCACTGTGGTCACTAATATATCCTTCTTATAAAATTTCTGAGGAACTTCAGTTAACTCAGAGCATGAAAGCAGATTATGAAATGAGAGCAACACTGTACTTGAAACCCAAGAAGATTGGAATCTAACTTTATTTCTTCCACTCAATAGCTAATAGTTTGCCGGGATTCAATGAACATATTTGGGCATTTTTGAGTTTAAAGAAAACATGACATGGTGGGAGGAATTGGGAGATTGGGATTGACATATATACACTAATATATAAAATAAATTAATATAAATTAATATAAAATTATAAATATGAATTATTTTTTTATAAAAATAAATTAATTTAATTTTTTTAAAAACCCAATAATCAAAAAAAAAAAAGAAAAGAAAAGAAAACACGACAGAGGATGGTTCCAATAAGTTCATGAAGGCTTTCCACCTCATAGAATTATGTTTTATTTGAATTGTATTGGTGGTCATAATTTTGGAAGGTTTATTCTCAAGTGCTAGAGTACACGATAGTGATGAACTGAAGTGGGCTCTCATGAGGTGATAGGTTTACATAGCTTAAAACGTACAGATTAGCACCTAGGGAATGTACTGTAACAGAAAATACAGGGTTGTTTATAATTTTCAAGAGTGATTCTTGCTTTAATACTTTATAGAACGTCTTATCCCCTGTTGACAACATGTTTAACGGTATCTCAATAATTTCTTGAAAAATGCAGTCTGCCTTTCTTTGGGTGAGGGCTGTTAGGGATGGAGTTGTGCAAAGGAGCTGTCCTTCAAAGACCACTTCTTCCCACCAACATTTCCCAGGTGTCCATCCATGCAGCCCCAGACAAATGGAGTCAAACACATTATGCTTTGGAAGCATCATTGAAGCTGCTGGACTTTTACGAAAATTACTTTGATATCCAGTATCCACTCGCAAAACTGGGTAGGTTCAAATTCCACATCATCGTCTTTATTATTTTTAGAACATACTTTGATTTCGTCCCTCTTAGTATGTGATTTAAATGAGCACTGAAGACGTTCAGTTAGCCCAGAAAGCAATAATTTGTACCTCAGAGATGGTCCTAGAGTGTAGAAAATAAATTATTATGAGAAGCCCAAGTACTGTGGTTCACTTCTCTATTCTTTTATAAGGTTTAATATTAAAATATCTGCATTTTATATTAGATTTAAATAGATGAATTTTCTGGAGCATATATTTTCTTCTGTACCATATTTGTACAAGACTAGCAATCTTTTAGAAAAGTTGCCAAAGATTTATGTAAATAGCTGAAAATTGTCCCTCCATCTATTATCTACCGTGTGTCTGAGGCTGGAAGATAAGACTGTGGCACAGACTTAAAAAAAAATAGATTTCGAGGAAATAGATAATTTGAATGTAGTAGTCGTAGATCTTTATATGAGAAAATACACACAGTCTATCTTGGTTGGTTTTAATTTTCTATCTTAAAAATTGTGATTTTTATGTTGCAGAATATATAAAAACCATGACAAATTTTATAACTTATATAGATTAATTTTTAGAGTTTCTGACAATGACAAAACATTGTTTTTCTTTGGGACTTTAGAACACGCACCTTATCATGTCCTTCCTCCCCTTTCCTGCCCAACCTCCATACAGTTTTAGACAGTTAAAAGGGACCATCAGAAGACATCTCCAGGGGGTTGTCCCTACAGTTCCTGGGTCTCTCACTGTATTATTATAGCGCAGGTTCTATATACCTTTTAGTACGGATATACTAAATCAGTTTACCCACAGTCCACTGCTGTCCTCTGTCAAAAATCAAGGAAAGATCAAATAACAGCTATCAACAATCTTAAGTTGCTCTTGAAAAATGTAACCTTGAAGATCATATGAAGTGAATGTATTTAAAATAAAATGAACTGAAAGGAAACATGCAGCTTAGGGAAAAAATGAGCAGATATGAGCACTTCTAATGGCTTTGGGAAATAATATAACTAATATAAAATCATCAATGCAATTTAGAAAAGAAGTCATTCCCACATTTGAAGTGCTAATGAATACTAATCTTTATTAGTGCTAGTTTGCTTTTTGATTGCATTATAAATATTTGATTTTATCCACTAGAATTAACCAATACTAATTCCAGACATTGTAATTGCAAGCCAAGTGACTTGATTTATTTCAAACTTTTAAAAAATTACCTTTCTTTTCAGCGAAACAGCAGTAATTTTTCCAATATGACCTGGAAGAATAAACAGAAAGAAGTCCAAGATTAAATATTAGCCAGAAGTTTTATAATCTACATGAAGTCACTGGCAGAGGGTATATATATATATATATATATATATATATATATATATATACTCACACACAGATATGATATAAATTACATTATATCTGAGTTGCTTAAACATGATTAAATTTCACTAGAGAGTATATATATATATATATATATATATATATATATATATATACTCACACACAGATATGATATAAATTACATTATATCTGAGTTGCTTAAACATGATTAAATTTCACTTTTTTTCCCTAAGACTTTGTCAAGAAGTAGAGGAAATATCAATGTTGAAAAGGAAATTGAGCTCAGAAAGAAGTTATGCCAACAGCTTTTTTCCTCTACTGCCTTAGGACACTTAGAGGCTGTATGCGCTAGAAATATTGATTGAAATATTGACTATAGAGATGCTCCTAAAAGGTGTTCCCCTGAAATTAAAATCCCCTTTTTTTCTTTTTTGTAGACATGAGTCCATTATATGTTTTGTTGATTTCCAGACATATTAGAAATTATTTGATACCTCATATTTTCAAAGTTTTTCTGTAGTACTAATATAAAATACAATAGGAGAGTTTTAAAATGAATTTTTTTCTCAGCAGTAATGCACTCAAGGTATTTTCATAGTTTAGTTTTAGGAAAAAGTGGTTAAATGTCAACAGGTTACTTCACCTACAACCAAAACTTTACTGATAAACTTTATTCTGCTTGATAACAGATACTGATTATTTTCAGCAACTACAAGACACCATATCAATGTTAAGACACTTTTGATGTTTTCAGAAAATCTGCTTATATATACTGAATGGATCGTAACGTATTTGAGGAGGAAGCCAATCCCACTTCTGGTGTGGAAGCCATAATGATCAAGTGTGGTTGTTCCTATTTCTTAGATCTAGTTGCCATTCCTGACTTTGAAAGTGGAGCCATGGAAAATTGGGGGCTTGTCACATATAGAGAGACGTCACTGCTCTTTGATCCCAAGACCTCTTCTACTTCTGACAAACTGTGGGTCACCAAAGTCATAGCTCATGAACTAGCGCACCAGGTACCTGGCACTCATGACATTCTCTTAGCATCGGTTCAG